AAACACACAATTTGAGCTGTTGAAAGAGGTGAAAAATGCTTTCATATAATGATAATTCCAAAGATAATTTTAGCTGCCGTCCATTTTTACGAATCTGATAAGTACAAAACAAGTCATATCTGCACGATTAAGCACATAATAACACAAACTTTACAAATGCTATGTTTATTCAATTCTTTTTTTTAAATCGCTTATTCCGTTGCAGGCACAAAGTTTAATATAATTTAGTTTAATATAATTGAAATCTAAATATAATATCCAAATACCTATGGAAGTTGCCTTGAGTAACGACGATGGAGGGTGTAACGCAGCGTTTTCCGGTGGAAATAGTTGCGTTGAGTCCACTCGGAGCGATCATCAGCAAATTACTGCTATTCTTGTCACATGCATGCGAGTTGTGCCTCTGCGTGGAATAATTGACACGGAAGATGTGAGAATTTTCCGAAGAGCTCAGTTTCTCTTGCTTCAGAAATGTTAGCGCCGGCTTCACGTGGTACGTGGCAGAATTTTGGCTGTTCAAATGTGATTCGCATTTGATGCGCACGTCATGTTGCTGCACTCCATTACGGTCTTGACTCTTTTGCCATTCGAGAACATTACTTAACAACCTTATGTATCTACGCAACGAAATTTGTGTGTCATTGCGTGTCATTATTTAAATTTCAAATATTAAGTTTTTGCTTTGATATATTCTTGTTAATATTATTTTAAAATGTTTATTGAATATTATGTACACAATATATGTATTTCTTTATCAAAATTTCTGTTAATACAAATCTTGATATATTATCTTTGATATATATCATTTTTAATTCTAAAGCTTTTTTTATTGAAACTTTTATTAATAAAATCTTGATATTATTTTTAATTGCCTTTAGAATAAGATTAGCTTATAGAATAGATATTTCTATATTTTCTTACTTTTTAAAAGTAAGAAGGTAATATTATACATAAAAATATGAAAAATAGTTGCTTAAAATATTTGTTTTTATAATTAAAGAATTACCTTATTGCCATCCTTAATATCTCATTTTTCGACAATTTCTTGTCAGGTGGATGAGTCGGTACTAATTTGCGAAGTTCGGCAAAGGCACCGCTTACATTCTGCTGCCTCCATCTTTCACGACTGTTAGTGAATAATTTTCTAACTCCTAAGTTACCTATGCGGGGTGTAGGTGATCCCAAGTGACCACTGCCAGAAGACGAGATGCCATCTAGCTATGAGATTATCGTGAATTTCATTAAACTAATTAATCGCTTAAAAATCATTATCAAATAAAATTAGCTAGATTTAAGAAACTATATAAAATTTATTATATTAGTGGAATTAAAAATTTTTAAGGACGTGATTAGACATGGAAAAAGAATTTCTAATTTTGCTCACGGAGCTGGATCGATCCCGCCGCCTTTTGCTTTGTTCCTCTTCCTCATCTGTGTCGTGAGAATAAAACTCGTCAGAAAGCGTAGCCTCCTCTTCAGTGTCCCTTGATGTTCCGGGTGAATCGCCAGCTTCTTCCGCAAGCTCTCCTTCACCAGACAACAATGATCCTGCTGGCGAACCGTTTTCGGCCTCCGCAGCTCCTATACCGCAGCCACTATATGTTAACATCGGCTGCAACAATTAATAAGTATGACGAACAAACAAAATAAACTTTCTTTTAGTCACCATTTGTCAATGCCAATTGTGACGTTCCAATTCACACGAGTAAACATGGAAATTATTGTTTTATGTCCGCAATTCTAAGCTTATCGAAATTACCCATCTAAATCGGTTTCAGATCTATTATTAATTTATTATTGTAGTTAATATTGAAATGTAAAATCGACAAGTAAAGTGACAATAAAATTTCGTGTTAATAAAATGAGCTGGTTAAAGAAATTTTCTCGGGCAATCTCGAGATAATATAATTAGCCTACATAGTACCAACAGGAAGTTGATACTACGCTGTCTTTAACTGTCCCTGACATTCAACAGATATGTGTGTCATTCAATTTATCTTCACATAATTATTAGTCATATATGCACTTGCCATTGCTTTCTTGCTATCAGTTTTATTTATATGCGAAAGGAAGGATTTCCGCTTACACATTTGCATTGTCTCCCACTCATAATTTTATACTTTTCAATATGTTAAAAAATTGATTTTTAGCATCGATGGTTAGTTCTAAGTAATCGCAATTCTAAGTTTTACATTTTGAGTCTAACAGTTTTATTTATCATCATATTAATAGGATTTTAATTATTTTAAAGATAAAATACTAACAGAGACTGCACAATAATTTTT